AGCACTTTCATCACAACGACAACATGAGCGCTGCATTTTACAAACGTGCTTCAAATTCGTAGACACTCTGCAAACTCAGAAAGCACTTTCACCAAATGACGACACCGACGCTACAATTCATAAACATGCTGCAAATACAGAAACACATGCAACTTCAGAAATGCTGCAAAGCCAGTCACAACACAGTGGAAATGTCTCTGGAAGACTCAAAGCGGATGGAATATCTATGACGGAAAATCACTGACAGAAGTAGATCAGGCTCTGGACTCTGACACCCCCAGTTCATGGTTAACCTGGCTGGCTTGTTTGCTGTCTAACATGTCACAGCTGTGCTGTGGTTGTTAATCTGGCATCACTGGTTAAATGTTCACTGTTACACTCTACAGCTGATTCCCATTAGGATACTGTGATGTCAGTAATCTACTCAAACAAAAGTCAACATTTACTGGTAAATGTTTGGGCTGCACAGAATTTAAACATCTGAATGTCTCCGTCCTCTCTGAGTGTCCTCTAGAAACACCTCCGTTGTGTTGTGACTGGCTTTGTAGCGTTTCTGAAGTTGCATGTGTTTCTGTATTTGCGGCGCGTTTATGAAATGTAGCATCAGTGTCGTCATTTTGAGGAAAGTGCTTTCTGAGTTTGCAGAGTGTTTGTAAAATGCAGTGCTCATTTTGTCATTGTGATGAAAGTGCTTTCTGCATTTTGCAGCTCGTTTTTATTTGCAGTTTGTTTTGTTGGGTCTTTTTGGCCACCATAGGCAACCCCACACAGGGGTTGAAAAATTGTTTTCAACACATTTTGAAAATTGTTCTAGCACAAAAAACATGTCACAAAATCATTACACAAGAATGAAAATGACCCTAAAACAACAGAGTTTGAGGGAAGCTGGGACTTTTCTGCAGCTGTTCATTATTAATTACTTGAGACGGTGATGGCAGCCATGCACACCTGCCCAAAGTTCAACTTTTAATACAAGCAAGAAAGAAAGAAAGAATGAATGAAAGAAAGAAAAGGAAGACAGAAATCATACGAGGAAGATGGCAGATCAGGTCTTGTGTTCCTGAACAGTAGCCAATCATATTCCTCCTGAGCTTAACTAGGCCTAGAAAACTTACAATTTACCTGTCAGGGCAAAGAGACATACTAAAATGACTCAGCGATTAAACACGCTTTGTTGGTTTCAGGCATTTGATCCTTCCCAGATGTCATGGTACAGTTATTCACTCACGTACACACCAGATATATATATGTGTGTGTTGTTTCTAGGGTGATATTTCCATAACCCACATCTACCGCTGTTAAACTAACGATCCACTCTATCAGATCCACTGTTCATGGTGACTTTGGCTGGTTTCATAGAAGCTGCAGTGGTTTTTAGGCGTGGCTCACTCTTTATGTAACAGCTTCTACTGCACTTTTCAATTATGTGAATTTTTGTCTTTGGAAAACACTTCAGGGAAAACTATGAAACTAAAGAACTCACATAACTCGATGGACCTGTAGTCCTCCAGAGTGTTAAGCTCAGAGTGTGTCAATCACACACACAGCTTCAGACCCTGGGGCCCACAAACAGAGTAAAAAGCTGCCGCTGTCATGCAGGCCTGTGGTGGCTCACAACACATCCCAGAGCTTCATTGACTCTTTAGGGGACAGGTTTCATTCCAGAAGGGCGGCGTCAGATTCACACTGACTTGTTCAGACTCATGAAATGAAGCTGGAGTCCTGTATACTGAAAAAGTAACGCGCTGCATTTACTGGATTCAAATAACACAGGAATAAAATATACATTACTACACAAAAGTCAGAGAACCCTTCATTTATTTCATTTCCACTCAAACTGGCCTTAAGTTGTTGATTTTTCAGCATCAGAAAAACGCATAAAAATGTCACAAAAGCCTCAACTAAATATAACATCAAATTTTCACTATTTATAGTGTCCATGCATTTATAGTGCATGGTTCTTCTCCTCTCTCTCAAAGATAAAAGCTTTAATTGCTGCTTATCTGACGCTGACAGTTTTGGTTGTCGACCAGGTCTCACATGGTTGTTAGGACTCATCTTCTTTTGTGTCTTTTATTCATTTTGTGAACTCCTGGTTTTTTCACTTATTGTATTGTACAACTTTGGCAGACACTCTTATCCAGAGCAGCGTACAACTTGATCATTTTACACAGGTATGCGAAGGTAGTGTTAGGACTCGATACCACACACCCCTTCTTTGTGCAAGTGGATTACATCTAAATGTCCTTAGAAGTAAAAATGAAGAACTTAACGGTGGTTTCAACTGCAAATTAACCCTTAAATGGCCGAGGCCACCAGCAGGCCCAAGGTTTTATTACACACTTCCCTAAGAACAGCTCAACCAGTTTGCACTGAAGTCACTGTGGTTACTGAATAATAAGGCTTAGCATGTAATAAATCTGGGAATTACAGGTGCTAACTAAATAAAAGGTGGCCTCTGACTTTTGCAGTAGAAGATGCTGAATGCTGGAATATTGTTGCTGTCTGAACATTTTGTAACTCCCTTTATTTCCAATCCAAAACATCAGCTGGTCTGTACATTGTGTCGGCTAGTCATGATGAATGGACCAACAGAAATGCAGAATGTTGCTTGAAAATGAAATGAAAATGAAGAATGTTGCTTCTCTTGTAAAGTTATTAGTCTGGAGAAACAAGGTTTTATTCCAACACCGACAATGTAAATCCAGGAATGAGCTACACAGAGAGCTCATTTCAAAGCTTAGTGGCCATAAAAAATATCAGATGGGTTTTGGACGATACTCAAGGTTTCAATATCAGTATCAGAATCAGAAAAAAAGATCTTTGATCTCTGAATGGAAATTCAATGCATCTGTTTCTCGGTTTATGCTGTATTCATACTACCAATATTACCAATTCAATAATCTGAAATATAACCCAGTGATTAAACATGCTTTGTTTTTTTCCCCAAATGGTGTAGCACAGCATTATTGTGCTTAGGCTTGACTCAAAGTCGTTGTCATTATTAATATTACATTCTTTAATGAACTAGCAGTTTTCTTTTAGCAAAGGATTAAGCTCTCTGCTCTGAAGCATCGTCCTGTTTGACTGCTTGAATCTTGGTTCAGACTCTCCGCCACCACCACCACGCCCTACTGCAGTGTTCCACCGTCACTGTTGTACTTTCTATGAAAATGTCCTGCACAACAAGTTTCTCTTCACTGTGTCGACCCACATGGCTTTGTGATTATGTTAAACTCAGTTCTCTTTTAAAGGACGACACTTAAGTGCAAAAAATAGGCCAAGCCCAAAATACCAGTGGTTTTCCTAATGGTTTTGGCCCAGTGAGACTCAAGATTTAAACTCTACGGTGAATATTTGGTCTCACATTCTTGAGCCATCAGTGCTGAGTGGAATTACACTGACTCTTCTTTCTCTCTGCAAATTTACTCACAAGACTGTTACATTAAAAGAAATCAAAGTGGAAAATCTCTCCAATAACAAGTTACTTTATCTATTTGCTTAATTCTTGCTGTTTTACTGACTAATATTTGTTGTTAAGACTATTAAAAGTTAAATGTTTTGTCATTTTGGGTTTAGCCCATTTTTTTTGCATGGAAATATATGTATAATACATGAACAATCAACACTGAAAAACATGGTGCTTTGAACTGACTTGATTCAAATATCTGCAGCAGTTCCACATGACTGCAATTACAGCCAAAACAAAGCAAATAAAGTACAATGATTGTGTTGATGTAATACAATCAGAGCTAACCTCTTTAACTCCAAGCATTATTATTATTATTATTATTACTACTATTATTATTATTAGCATTATAAATTGAAATGTGGGCTCGCATTTGAGCTCTGAGGTCTGGATTCCCACTGATATTACTTTTAGGAGTTTTTACTGTTTAATTTCAATACAATTTGAATAAACTTTATATTTGTGCTTCATTTTATGTTACAATTTCAAATGAGTTGGCCATAACGCTACTCATTGACCTTAAAGGTAGAACCAGAGAACAACAGACACAGAAGAACAGGCCGGTACATGTTGTTGGATAATGCCATCTATGGACTTGTACAGTAACAGCATGCTGTTCAGTGCACGCCTATGATCCGTTACATGACCTAGACTGTGCTTGCATTAAATTCTGGTTTTTCTAGAAGAGAAAGTGTGTTCAGTCAAACACTGGCTGTTTTGCACCTTCCTCTTGAATGTTTACAGTAGTTAGGTTAACCAGGGATGCTGGGACAGACGGAAAGGTCGGTTATTTTATGGCCATTTTACAGCAGCAGGTGGTTAAAGGTGGTGGCAGGTTTGGTCAGGTCTGTATTTTTCTGCCAGCCAGCAGATTCAGGTTTTAAAATGTGCCACAACTCCTGCATATGCTCTGGCTATTAACAGTGGCATCATGTACCTTGAAATGCCAGCCTCGACTTCAAGCTTCTTTGCAGACGCCTGCGTTCAGCCACCACATAAGGCTGTAAATAGCCTGGTGCTCAGTAGAAGGGAGGGAATTTCTCAGCTGAGAGAACAGAGGCCTATTTGTCTTACTGGACACAGAAGCCAGTGAATGACAACAGCTTCTATGCTGGGAGATCAGGATGCGTGCAGTGCGACTGCGTCAAAGCCATTCATCAAATATTACCCTATTCAAAATGCCTGCTTCCAGCCTGTTGCCCAAAGTGAACAGCGAGCTCAGCATGTCTCAGCCTCATGAAATATACATGTCAATGCACCTCACACTGTATACCTTAACAGTTGTGAAACTGATACCGAGTGTATCGATTGCAGGGGAATGTGGGCTACTCTTGCACAGAAACTAGCTGCGAATTTTGCACTGGAAGAGAGTCTCATTTGCATGAGAATTTGATTGACCTTCTCCTTCCCTCTGACTTTCTCTGGTGTGCAGCAGGCTTGTATTGAAGCCATCTCCACTTACAGAACTTCTCTTACCCTACCTGTCCGACATGAAGGGCGGTGCCTGCTCAGGTGAGGTGTAGGGGGAGGACGCGCCTGAGGCTGAATGAGGGAGGGCCGGGCGACTCCCTCCCTCTTTTTCGAGGTCTTTAAAAGCCGTCCTGCTCCACAGAGAAGGCACTCAGAGGGATTTCAGTCTCCTCTTAGTGAGCTCTCCTGCTCCAGTCCTCTCTGCTCTCTCTCTGTCCGCGCCCTCCCCTCGAAGACAACCATGAGTGTCCGCACCATCAGCATCAGTGGTAGCAAAAGTGGCCTGGGAGGTGGTGGCGGTGGCGGCAGCATCAGACAGAACTTCTCAAGCCGCTCAGCCTTCGCTGTGCCCTCGGGCTCAAGGATCAGCTCTGGTAGTGTCCGCCGCTCTGGCTTTGGCTTTGGTGGTGCCGGCGGGGGTGGCTCTTTCAGCTACAGCCTGAGCAGCATGGGCGGAAGCATTGGAGGAGGCTCGGCTCTGGGAGCAGGCGCTGGTGGAGGTTTGGCTCTAGGTCTTAGTGGAGGTGGAGGCTTTGGCAGCGGAGGTTTTGGAGGTGGCTTTGGAGCTGGAGGCTTTGGCAGTGGAGGTGGGTTTGGCAGTGGCGCTGGGTTTGGTGGTGCTGGTTTTGTGCCACCCCCCATCACAGCTGTTACTGTCAACTCCAGCCTCCTTCAGCCTCTCAATCTCGAGATCGACCCCAACATCCAGGTTGTCCGCACACAAGAGAAAGAGCAGATTAAGACTCTCAACAACCGCTTCGCTTCCTTCATCGACAAGGTGGGTTTTCCTCTCCTGCCTTGCAGGATAGATAGTTCATTAATGTATTTGTAACTTTATTAACACATGCAAAAATGTCTATTCTATTGAAATATATTTGAATGTTTATAATGCAACGGTGTCCAGTTCAAGTCCTGGATGAGTCCAACACAGCTTGGTGATTTCCCTGCTCAAACACACGTACTAAACCTGGTAACTGTATGATGACTTGAAGGCAGGTGTGTTTGAGCAGGGAAATCAGTAAACTGTGCTACACTAAGGCCTCCAAGGCCAGAGCTGGACGCCCCTGCTATAGGGCCTTGGGCTTGTTCATTCACACATTTCCAAACGACTGTCAGAGCTTTCACCTGAGGAGGGCCAATGGTCATTAAATATTTCACAGCCATTAGCCTGCATGCAGAAATCCTGGTGATGGTGCATTTAAATACTCTTAGGTTTTAAAAACAAATCAAGCCTTCATTGGCACAGTGCACCACTATATTATTTAGCCTTGCAGGGTCAAAGTGCATAGATGTCTTGCTGATGAAGGCCTAAACACCGCTTGAGTGGTTTTCTTTGACAGCAACAGTCCATAGTGGGGTTTGAGTTTGGAAACCTTAGCCTAGGCAGATCCAATGACAGCGAGTCATTTCTTTCCAAATAAGGGCATGGATCAAGTTAGCCATCTATTCCCATGGCAGCTCTATGTGTTTGCAAGGGTGCAGTATAGCAGGTAAAGAGATGTAATGATGGTGAAACTCTCTAAAATGTTGAAAGTTTCTCTGAGAGGGAGGGGCACAGGCGCATATGGGTCATGCAGCTAACAAACAATTGTGCATGATCAATACTAGGGTGTTGTTTCCTCTTGGGAGAATTAGACTTCCAACCACACCCTATCTATTAAATGCTTTGTCAGCTTTTCACGATTTGGTGCTGCATCCTTTTCATCCCTTTCAACAGTCCTGGCAAGATCAATTTTCATACAATTGCATTCAATGCAACAGACGGGCAAAGCTTTGTTTATAGAAGGATAAAAGCCACTTAAGAAGAAACATGCATTATTCCAACTTCGCAGAGTTCAAAGATTCAGTTTCTGCAGTTATGCACACCCAGTACCACTGAAATTGCATAGCAGGAATCAATCTGGGAGTGACTCCATCCCTGTGCCCAGGGGGCAAGGAGTGTCTCATCAGGCCTGTTCAGGCCTGCCAACAAGGCTGCCAATATTCTTTGAGGGGTTTTGCCAAACTAATTTGATGGCAAAGAATGTGCTGGGAGCCCACACCAAAGCATAGACATAGCTGGAACATGTTGCAGAGGCATATGAGGGCAGTGTTTCATGACCTCAGAAGGGGAGTGTGCTAATAAGACTTTTAGTACACCTTCCAGTGGACTGCCTCTGCCTCTGGGCAACAATTACTCTTCACTTCCAGCAAGACCCAACAGACAGATGGCACTAATGCTAATAAATCTCCCAGATGATGGATTGATTATAGTTATTTTAAAGCAAGTATCAACATGTACTGGGAATACACCTTGATATTTATCTCACATCTTAATAAAGGTGTGACTCCTCCTTTTATAGAGAGGAACTGATTTTAAGAACTCATTTGGCTACACTTCCTAAAGGATTTCATTCATTTTTAACATGATTCTACCTGTTTATCCCTCCTGTAGGTACGTTTCCTGGAGCAACAGAACAAGATGCTCGAGACCAAATGGAGCCTCCTTCAGGAACAGACCACCACCCGTTCCAACATCGACGCCATGTTCGAGGCCTACATTGCCAACCTGCGCAGACAGCTGGATGGTCTTGGAAATGAGAAGATCAAGCTGGAGGGAGAGCTGAAGAACATGCAGGGTCTGGTGGAGGACTTCAAGAACAAGTGAGTCACTTATTATGTCACTTTCCACAACTTGCATCACTCCATGAGCCACACTTTTAAAATGTTTATGAATTTGCAGATATGAGGATGAAATCAACAAGCGCGCCGCTGTGGAGAATGAATTCGTCCTGCTGAAGAAGGTAAGAGCTTTGACTCTCTTCTCTCCAAACAGTGTGTTTCTCATACATCTTAGAATATCTGTAGAGTTGTTCACATGTTAAACCATAATAATCTTCCTACAGGATGTCGATGGGGCCTACATGGGCAAGATTGAGCTTGAGGCTAAAGTTGACGCCCTTCAGGATGAGATCAACTTCCTCAGGGCCATCTATGAGGAGGTGGGAACCTAATCCAATTACATTTTCTCTGTGATGTGGTTTCTTTTATCAGGGCGAAGTTGCATGTCATACAGAGCTTCATACTGTTTTACTGTGCCTTACTTTTCAGGAGCTGCGTGAACTCCAGGGACAAATCAAGGACACATCAGTCATTGTGGAGATGGACAACAGCCGCAACCTGGACATGGACTCCATTGTGGCAGAGGTCCGCGCTCAATATGAGGACATTGCCAACCGCAGCCGTGCTGAGGCCGAGTCATGGTACAAGCAGAAGGTAAAAACCAGCCCTTTTTGACGTTGGGAAAAATAGCATGTACATTTGTTAAGAACCACTGACTTACAAGGGATTGTATTTGTCTTCATCCTGTTTACCAGTTTGAGGAGATGCAGACATCTGCTGGCCAATATGGAGACGACCTTCGCAACACCAAGGCTGAGATTGCAGAGCTCAACCGCATGATCAGCCGACTGCAGAATGAAATTGAGGCTGTCAAGGGACAGGTGAGCAGTTATGCTAGTTTTCCAACATACATGTCAGTGAATGAGATCGCAGTCGGGTGCAGAAACTTCAGATTGAGTTTTCTGTGTCTTTCATTTTCCTAGCGAGCCAACCTGGAGGCTCAGATTGCAGAGGCAGAGGAGCGAGGAGAGCTGGCAGTGAAGGATGCCAAACTCCGCATTAGGGAACTGGAGGAGGCCCTGCAGAGAGCCAAGCAGGACATGGCACGGCAAGTGCGCGAGTACCAGGAGCTCATGAACGTCAAACTGGCCCTGGATATTGAGATCGCCACCTACAGGAAACTCCTGGAAGGAGAGGAGACCAGGTCAGTCTATTTTCAACAAAAAGCTTATTTGTAGGTTAATTTTTGGCTCTTAACTGAACCTTAACCGTGTGAATCCATCCACAGGATCGCCTCTGGTGGTGGAAGCGCAACCATCCACATTCAGGAGAGCTCCAGTGGTGGTGGTGGTGGTAAGTTATATATGCATTATTACTCTTCTTTGTTTAATGACCAAACAGATTGAAAGCACAGACGACTAAATATATTTTTCTATGTTGTTTTGCAGGTTCTGGATTCGGTGGTGGTTTCGGCTATGGTGGTGGAGCTGGTGGTGGAGCTGGTGGAGCTGGATTTGGCCTGGGTGGTGGATCTGGCTTTGGCCTGGGTGGTGGATCTGGCTTTGGCGTGGGTGGTGGCACTATTGGAGGCTATGGCGGCGGCTATGGCGGCGGCTCCGGCCTCAGCGTGGGTGGAGGTGGAAGTGGAATCTCCATCTCCCGTTCCTCCACAGTATCACAACGTCGCTTCTAAACACACAAAGTCCTTCCAAACCCCCTCACCCAACTCTCAGCTCCATCCTCTACTGAATAACTTCCATTCAGAAACTGCCCAAACGCATCTCAGCATCTAAGAATTTCTCAGCCTCCCTTCTCTTCTTCATCTTTGCACCACACTGAATGTATTCCTAGAGTATCTGCTGACGTGTATCAAATATGTTTACATGTGTTCAGCACAGAGCAGAGCTACTCAACACACCATGAGCTCAGTGGATGCTCTAGGTCTACAGAGTGTATGATCAGGTGTTCTCTTAGGCTTCTGCTCTTTGTTCTATGAAATGCTTCTCCAACAACTAAAGAAAGAGACATAGCAAGGAGCTCACCTTCTTTCACTGCCCGCCTGACCAATGTCTGTTGCTCAGTGTTAGGAAAACTCAAAAAATGAAGCAAATTGTTTGAACCATGGTCACTCCGCTCAGCACTGCCAACAGTTTGCTGCATTTTTTGAAACGCACTCACGGTGTAACAAAAGCTCAGCAATGTTCTTGAGGATAGAGCAGCTGTATGATCAGCTCCTGAGTTCTCCAGCTTTGCTTCCCGGATGTGAAGGACTAAGCGGAGACCTTTGGAACAGCTGTTGCCACAGTGTGCTGTACTCTCTATGTCTCAAAGGCCGAATGGCGCAAAACGATTTGTGAAATGTAATTGACCATGCCACCGCAAAACCTAAATAAAAGTGGATTCTGTACACTTAATCTTCCGACTGTTGTCATTTCTCATTGTTTCATGCTCAAAATTAACTCCACAGGGAATAAACCTAAATATGCCACTGTTCTGCAAAGTGCACAATTTCTATTTATTTGCTAAGTTTTACATACTAAAAAAAGGAAACCATAAAAAATAAAAGATGACTTTTGCACAGGTCACATTTAATGTTTCATTATCTTTTTCCGATCTGTTAAATTCTGCAAATAAACAGTATTTGTGTATTAAAATGTGCAGGAGTGTGTTCTCTGTAGAGTATGTGTTACTTATTTTCACTTAGAAAATCAATAATACATGTCATTTGACCTGGGATGCCCAAACTTTTGCATACAACTGTGTATATGCTCATTCTCAGGCTTAATTACACTCTTACAGTTCATGATAATAACCCCTTGAACTCTAAATGAGCTGCATTTCAATACCTCATCGTCATAACCCTATAACTTACATACTATTTTCATAGTACATACTGAATAATTCACAGTATTTACAGCACAATTAGTCTTAAAAATAATAAAAATTAATAATAAGCCTGCAGTTTAACCCTTTCAATTGCCAGGATCTGTCAGTGTGGTCCAAACTTTTGAAGTCCAAAGTAGTCTGTGTAGTTACTGAATAATAAGCAAACAGCAAACAGAAAAGACAGAATAAATAAGCTGTTCACCGCAAAGCAGCTGAAAGACAAATACTATAACATCCACAGGCCTGATTTCAGTCAACAATGTCACTTTGTTTAATGCGCTAAATCAGACAATCACTGACATTCCTGTCTGCTTTCCTGTTGGCACAGAAACCATACACAGATCAGGCATAACATTCTGACCACCTTCTTGTTTCTACGCTCATTGTCCATTTTATCAGCTCCACTTACTATATAGGTGCACTTTGTAGCTCTACAGTTACAGACTGTAGTCTATCTGTTTCTCTGATACTTTGTTAGCCCCCTTTTACCCTGTTCTTCAGTGGTCAGGACCCCCATGGACCCTCACAGAGCAGGTACTATTTGGGTGGTGGATCATTCTCAGCACTGCAGTAACACTGACGTGGTGGTGGTGGTGTGTTAGTGTGTGTTGCGCTGGTCTGAGTGGATCAGACACAGCAGTGCTGCTGGAGTTTTTAAACACCTCAGTGCCACTGCTGGACTGAGAATAGTCCACCAACCAAAAATATCCAGCCCACAGCGTCCTGTGAGCACTGATGAAGGACGAGAGGATGACCAACACAAACTGTGCAGCAGCAGATGAGCTATCGTCTCTGACTTTACATCTACAAGGTGGACTGACAAGGTAAGAGTGTCTAATAGAGTGGACAGTGAGTGGACACAGTGTTTAAAAACTCCAGCAGCACTGCTGTATCTGATCCAGTCGTACCAGCGCAACACACACTAACACACCACCACCACGTCAGTGTTACTGCAGTGCTGAGAATGATCCACCACCCAAATAGTACCTGCTCTGTGAGGGTCCATGGGGGTCCTGACCACTGAAGAACAGGGTAAAAGGGGGCTAACAAAGTATCAGAGAAACAGATAGACTACAGTCTGTAACTGTAGAGCTACAAAGTGCACCTATATAGTAAGTGGAGCTGATAAAATGGACAATGAGCGTAGAAACAAGGAGGTGGTCAGAATGTTATGCCTGATCTGTGTATTTTTCTTTTTTTTAGATTATGACACTCTCCACTCAGCCTATAAGTATAAAACAATATAAGAAGATAAGAAGTGTACCGCGCTCAGCAGAGGTGATAATGCTACCACGAGCTCCAGTCAACTGTGCATTGTTGATGAATGGCGACTTCACATGAAACACTTGTTGGCCAAACAGATAAACATCAGCTTAGGGCCATTTAAGGCGATTCTCATGGGATCTTAGAACCTTGAGGGAGTCACCAGAGTCAGTGGCTCAGGTTACCACCGAGTATCAAAAGCAGCTTTCATTTAGTGCTGATTTTGCTGGCAGCTCTGAGTTACTTTGACACGTTCCTCTCAAAGAACATTGATTGGTTTGTCATTGACATCAGTCTCTGCTTTAGAAATAAAGCTGGCAAAATGAACCCAAACATGAATGGAATTAACTCTTTTGGAATCTGTAACTAACAAAATGTTATAATTTTGCTGGAACATTACTTTTGTGGTCATGATTTTAGAGAAATATTTACAGACAAGATAATAAAGTCTTTAAATTTGGGTTTCATTCCCTGTATACTTACTTATGTCTCTATGTTTCTGATACTACCTAAAAATCCCCCTAGAGTGAGTTCCAAGGCAGTAACAATGAGCTATTGAGTTATTTTAAGCAGTCAGTAAAAGTGAAGGACACCACCAGAGGCCACCTTTGTACTGTTAGTTTGTCACAGTCAACTGCTGCCCCCTAGTGGTGCTTCAATTCTCCTGTCTGTCAATGAGAACGCACACGCAGTTAAAGGAAGCATGTTTATTAGAATACTGCACAAAAATACACATTGTTGTTTTTTCCACTTTTAACATTTGTGTAGTTTTATGTACCAAAAATGGTCATAATTAATTTTTTATGACCACGTTCCAACCTCTCTTCAACCCTTACAACAATATTTTGTAACTGTGCCTTTAAGACTGATATGCTGATAAACTGATAAGACTGATAAACAAACTCTATTCTGATTGGCTGTCCTGTATTGTATCTCATTCAAAAAGCTCTCAGAGCTGAAAACACTCCTTATAACTTCAGTATGACTGGGCGATGCTAAACTGCTGTAGGCTGAATAGGTGGATTTGGGCCGTTCTACTTAACACAAACTCCTGCTTAAAACAAGTATTCAGACCTTGGATACTTACAAGAACTATGTTAGGATCTGTTTAAACACCATTAATTGAGAGAGTAATAAGCTAAATATATACACACACAATTATCATTTACAGGGGACTTTCTATTTGGCAGTGACTGTCCCAAACCCTACTCCCTAAATTTCAACTTATGAATATAATACTTAATTTCTTTGTATTTTTGCTGTGTTTTTATATTGAATCTCTTTTTGGTTTCTTTTAAAGTGATTTAAAAAAAAAAAATAAAAAATTTTTTTTTTTGCTTTATTAAAAAAATGCTGTCCCATGTTTTCATGTCACTGCAGACCCAGAGGAGCGAAATACTCTAAATGAGATCTCCTCTTGATCTCAGGTTCTTTTCCTGGACACAGTTAAGTCCAGTTTGAATTCAGAGTGAGACTTTAGTCATTTTCTCCTGTTTCTGAAATTTGTCTCCTGAGAAATAAAACTCAGACTTTGATCAAAATGTCATCAAACATGTGGATTAACTCTTTAGTGTCTGACTCGTCTCAGCCCAGCCTCAGCTGAGTAATATCTCCATAAGAAAAGTGTGAGATGTCATTGTTTTCTTATACAGCTGTGTTCTAGATAACAGAACCCTCTCAGCAGTCTATCAGTGCAGGAGGAGAACTCACGCTTTTCTCCTTCATCACCAGAACGTCTCACAGTGAGATGCTGATGTTAATCTCCTCTTTTCTCCTGAGGAGGTTCAGGAGAAACAGTTCAGAAATCAGTGATCCTTCATTAATAAAATACAGGGTGTCCCAAAAAAACTGACATCATTTCAGATGTGAATATCTGAGTAACGACATGTCCAGGCAAACGAAATTAAACAGGCTTCATGTTGAACAATACAAGATTTATTTATCAAAATTCGAACAAGAAATTCAGAGGGAGGTAGATTTTATAACCGATTTCACAGCTTCACTAATGTAATATCTCCGATACTGGTGGTCATCCAGATCCCTCTGTCCTGCACAGACAGCCTTCCTCTTTGAGTTTTTTGTGCCATGTCCAAATTCTGCTGTCCAGTTGGTGCATTTTTATTGAATTTTCTCTAAAATGCCGCTGCACACTCTCGTTTGACTGTGTTTGAGCATATTCTAACACACACAATGCCTTTTCATTTCTAGTGAATGCCGTTCTTCAACCTGAAAAAAACATTAAAAATTAAACTGGGTTAGTTTTTACACATTTTGTTAAAATTTGAGATCATTTGAGGGAGAATTGGCTGTTATTAGACCACGAAATGATGTCAGTTTTTTTGGGACACCCTGTATTGAGATGTTCTTTATTTCTTTGAGACAATTTTTAGAAATAATTTCTTTCCTCTGGGGAAACACAGAGTTTTAGCTCATAGGCAGAGCTTCATCTTAGCCACGCTCCTCATTTTAGAGCAGGAAGTGAGGCTGCATCCCTGTCCCTCGTGACCACATGGTGAGCATTAAGAATGGTCACTACCAAAACACATTTTCTGCAATTAAGTAAACTTTGTGTTTTCATGAAAATTATTATGATTTTATGTGTGCATGGTTGCTGGTCATGTGCTGGCTTGCTTTTCTAAATGAGCTCAAATTTGTGACTGACAATGCAGACTCAGAAAGTTGGGAGGTCTATTAACAACAGGGTAACAACACTCGTAGTAAAGAAGGCCAGTTTAAAAATATAACTGTGAATCAGTCCGAAGGGCAAAGAGGACAAAAAGCAAAAGCAGATACCAAAAAGTCAGGCAGATGTTCAAAACACCAGAGGGACAAACAAAACAAACGCTCAGTGGTCAGACTCCAAGGGACTGGCAACACTTTGCACCGCCTGGCTGAGTTTGGGGAGTATTTAAGGTGAGACTGATTAGGAAGGTAATGAGGTGCAGGTGGTTTGATCCTGGGAACAGAGCTAGTACTTAGGAGTGAGAGACCTCTGGTGGCCAGATAGGGAATTACTGAGTGACCTCAGCATGAAATTAATGCCAACGCATTTTCAGTTAATAAGTCAAACAACTGGCTTATTTTTTGGGCAAAGAAAAGGCAGAACACTGTTTGCGTTTGTGTGTTTGCTCTCACTCTTCCACTCGCTGATGTCCAGCTGCAGGCTCTCGAAGGAGTCATCATAAAGTGGAGACTCCGGCTCATTTTCAGGGTCACGGAACTTGCTGAGGTAAGGGTGAGACAGCATTAGAGTCTTCTCCAACAC